TGCCATGACCAAAAAAGGCTAAAAAATATTCTCCTTCCACTAATCTACTGACTGAATATAGTTTAATGAGTTAAACATAACAAATCTTAAAAAGCTTCCTCAGAACTGACAAAGAACCTCTGGTATTTTGTCATGATTGATCAATATGGTCCTACCTGTTTCTGAGAGGCGTTGTTTCCAAATGACGTATTCATGTGGGACTGAGGCTGGTCAGAATGATTAAGAGAACCTGCAGTAGAGCCATCTGCTGTCACGTGGGTCATCTGTGGGAGACAGAAGGTATAGTCTTTTGTTTAGCTACCATCAACGAGTACTCAGATTCTTTAGTCTGTATACTCTGACATTAGCCTGTTAGCAATAATCAGCGCTAATAGGGTAGCTCTAATCACAGGTACTTTAAATAATAATAATAATGCATTGGTTTTATATAGCGCTTTTCACTCCATGCACGGTGGTGATAAACTACTACTGTAGCCACAGCTGCCCTGGGGCACACTGACAGAAGCGAGGCAACCAGTCTGTGCCATCGGCCCCTCCCCCTCACCACCAACCATTCACACACACACCAGACTCATTCTAGGCAATGGGGGTAAAGTGTCTTCCCTAAGGACACAACGCCAGTTTGGCACTTTACAGCCGCAGCCGCCCCACCGTGGCTGGTGTTCCCAGAGGTTAAGTGTCTTGCCAAGGACACAACGACAGAAGATATCAGTGGGAGTCGATGGTGAAGGTCGGGCTCAAACACATGACCCTCTGGCTCAAAGGCCAATGCTCTACCAACTGAGCCCTTAAAGTTCACATATAGGCTTCTTCTAGTGCATAGGAAGCTTTACTTATATAATTTAGTCACTACACGTTTACTGTGAAGACATTTGTTCACCAGCTGAATGTGATACTAGAAGGGAACATTGACCCACATGCTGTTTGGTAGAATCTTCTGTCCAAGGTAGTTGCTAATGCTAGCGCCAAAAAGTTGCTAATGCTAGCTCGGACTAGTTGCATTAGTTTGTACATTAAAACCACCGCTGAGTTTTTTGGGTGTTTAATCCCCCAGTTTATTCTGTATTAAATCCACACTCACCTGCCTCCCCATGGTTTGTTGGTCTTCCTCCAAGGATAGCATCTGCTCCATCGTCCCTGTCTCTTTCTTCCATGCTCTCCATGTCAACCATGACCATGCAATAGGTTTTATTTATAAACATTATTATAATTATGGAAATGCACATTGTGCTATATTTAACCTTTTATAGCCTTAGTAATAGTACAAAATCCATCCATCCATTTTTTTCCGCTTCATCCGTTGCCGGGTCGCGGGGGCAGCAGTCTAAGCAGAGACGCCCAGACTTCCCTATCCACACACACCTCCTCCAGCTCGTCCGGGGGGACCCCAAGGCGTTCCCAGGCCAGCTGAGAGATATAGTCCCTCCAGCGTGTCCTGGGTCTTCCCCGGGGCCTCCTCCCGGTGGGACGTGCCCGGAACACCTCCCCAGGGAGGCGTCCAGGAGGCATCCGGAACAGATGCCCGAGCCACCTCAACTGGTTCCTCTCGACGTGGAGTAGCAGCGGCTCTACTCCGAGCTCCTCCCGTGTGACTGAGCTCCTCACCCTATCTCTAAGGGAGCGCCCAGCCACTCTGCGGAGGAAGCTCATTTCGACCGCTTGTATCCGCGATCTTGTTCTTTCGGTCATTACCCAAAGCTCATGACCATAGGTGAGGGAGGGAACGAAGATTGACCGGTAAATTGAGAGCTTTGCCTTTCGGCTCAGCTCCCTCTTCACCACAACGGTCCGATACAGCGACCGCATCACTGCGCACGCTGCACCGATCCGCCTGTCAATCTCACGCTCCATCCTTCCCTCACTCGTGAACAAGACCCCGAGATACTTGAACTCCTCCACTTGAGGAAGGACCTCTCCACCCACCTGAAGAGGGCAGGGCACCTTTTTCCGGTCGAGCACCATGGCCTCAGATTTGGAGGTGCTGATTCTCATCCCAGCCGCTTCACACTCGGCTGCAAACCGTCCCAGTGCATGTTGTAGGTCCTGGTTCGTTGGAGCCAACAGGACAACATCGTCTGCAAACAGCAGAGATGAAATCCTGTGGTCCCCGAACCGGACCCCCTCCGACCCTTGGCTGCGCCTAGAAATTCTGTCCATGAATACAGTGAACAGAACCGGTGACAAAGGGCAGCCCTGGCGGAGGCCAACGTGCACAGGGAACAGGTCTGACTTACTGCCGGCAATGCGCACGCAGCTCTGGCTCCGGTCATACAGGGACTGGACGGCCCTCAGCAGAGGACCCCGGACCCCGTACTCACGGAGGACCCCCCAAAGGACACCCCGGGGAACACGGTCGAACGCCTTCTCCAAATCCACAAAGCACATGTGGACAGGTTGGGCGAACTCCCATGAACCCTCGAGTATCCGATGGAGAGTATAGAGCTGGTCCAGTGTTCCACGGCCGGGACGAAAACCACACTGCTCCTCCTGAATCCGAGATTCGACCATCGGCCGTAACCTCCTCTCCAGTACCTTGGAGTAAACCTTACCAGGGAGGCTGAGGAGTGTGATCCCACGATAATTGGAACACACCCTCCGGTCCCCCTTCTTGTAGAGAGGAACCACCACCCCGGTCTGCCACTCCATTGGCACCGCCCCCGATCGCCACGCGATGTTGCAGAGACGTGTCAGCCAAGACAGTCCTACAACATCCAGAGACTTTAGATAGTCAGGACGGATCTCATCCACTCCCGGCGCCTTGCCACCAAGGAGGCTGCCAACCACCTTGGTGACCTCTGCCAGGGTGACAGAGGTATCCGCCCCAACATCCTCAGCCTCTGCCTCCGGAGCGGAGGACGTGACGGGGGGATTGAGGAGAACCTCGAAGTATTCCTTCCACCGTCCGACAATATCCCCGGTCGAGGTCAGCAGCTCACCCCCCGCACCGTACACGGTGTTGGCAAAGAACTGCTTCCCCCTCCTGAGGCGCCGGACAGTTTGCCAGAATCTCTTCGAGGCCGACCGATAGTCATGCTCCATGGACTCTCCGAACTCCTCCCAGTCCCGGGTTTTTGCCTCTGCAACAGCCCGGGCCGCGGCACGCTTGGCCTGCCGGTACTGGACAGCTGCCTCAGGAGTCCCCCGAACCATCATGGCTCGATAGGACTCCTTCTTCAGCCTGAAGGCATCCCTTACTGCCGGTGTCCACCACCGGGTTCGGGGGTTGCCGCCGGGACCAGCACCAGAGACCTTGCGACCACAGCTACGAGCCGCCGCATCGGCGATTGAGGCAGAGAACATGGTCCACTCAGACTCAATATCCCCCTCCTCCGCCGGGACCTGGGAGAAGCTCTCCCGGAGGTGTGAGTTGAAAGTCTGTCTGACAGGGGTCTCAGCGAGACGTTCCCAGCAAACCCTCACTACACGCTTGGGTCTGCCAGGTCTGACCGGCTTCTTCCCCTGCCAGCGGATCCAACTCACGACCAGGTGGTGATCGGTTGACAGCTCTGCCCCTCTCTTTACCCGAGTGTCCGAAACACGCGGCCGAAGGTCAGATGATACGACAACAAAGTCGATCATCGACCTCCGGCCTAGGGTGTCCTGGTGCCACGTGCACTGGTGGACACCCTTGTGCTCAAACATGGTGTTCGTGATGGACAAACCGTGACTAGCACAGAAGTCCAACAACTGAACACCGCTCGGGTTCAGATCAGGGGGGCCGTTCTTCCCGATCACCCCTCTCCAAGTGTCACTGGCGCTTCCCACATGGGCGTTAAAGTCCCCCAGGAGAATGACGGAGTCCCCGGGCGGTGCACTGTCCAGTACCCCTCCCAAGGACTCCAAGAAGGCCGAGTACTCTGCACTGCTGTTAGGCCCGTAGGCCGTCACAACAGTGAGAGACTTGTCCCCCACCTGAAGGCGGAGGGACGCGACCCTCTCATTCACCGGGGAGAACTCCAACACGTGGCGGCTGAGATGGGGGGCAATGAGTATGGCCACCCCAGCTCGCCGCCTCTCCCCGCGGGAAACTCCAGAAAAGTGGAGCGTCCAACCCCTCTCAAGGAGTTGGGTTCCAGAGCCCAAGCTGTGTGTGGAGGTGAGGCCGACTATCTCTAGTCTGTACCTCTCGACCTCCCCCACAAGCTCGGGCTCCTTCCCCCCCAGTGAGGTGACGTTCCACGTCCCAAGAGCTAGATGTTGGGTGTGTGGACTGGGTCGCCGAGGTCTCCGCCTTCGACTGCTGCCCAGTCCTCTCTGCACCTCGCCACCACGGACCCCTCTGCAGGTGGTGGGCCCACAGGAGGGACTGCCCACGTCGTCCTTTCGGGCTGAGCCCTGCCGGGCCCCGTGGGCTAAGGCAAAATATAAAGATAAATTTAAATACTATTCACTCTAATATTTTGATCACATTATGATGATAATAATACAATTCAAGCCACATAAGTTAATTAGGACTAACTTTGTTGCTATGAAATAACACGCATGTATAACATATTTGTTCAAAAATTATTGCAAATTAGGTTTACCTGTCTGTTGCATTTGAAAGCAGCTGAAAAAAGTTGATTTTTAAATCATAACTCATGGGGACCAGGAAGTGGGCGGTACCTAATTATATATGCGAAGTGTGTGTGGAAACCAATGTGTCTTACCAGTCATCACCACCAGAGGTGCCAAGCCCCTTCTAAACAGTTCCCCCATACATCTAAATGGTTTTCCTTATGGGGACCTAGTTTTTGGTCCCCATAAGGAAACGGGTCCCCATGACGTGGCAGTGTAAACAGATTTCAATCCCCACAACGTGACACACACACACACACACACACACACACACTATGTTTATAACGTTCTAAATGTCTAAGTTCATCTGACAAACGCTCTCTTCTTTAAACACATTTGAACCGTACTTTAGTATAAATCTGTCGTTCTGGATCAGGACTAAAATCCTTGCACTGTTTAATGTGAAGGGTTTCTTAACAAAGTGCTGTCTGACCGTGTTTCAGCGGCGCTCTGTGCGGATGAGGAGGACGCCGGCTTCACGGGGAAAAGGCTAAACTCCAAAATGGTGGTTTTCTCTGGAACCAAAACGTCGTATTTGCCTCGAATGATGAGTCTGTACGAGCAGTGCATCCGAGTGCTGCAGAACAACATCGACTGTGAGCTTCTCCTCTCTACTATGTTTACAGAATGTTTACAGAATGTTTACAGAATGTTTACAGAATATATAAAGAATATTTACAGAATATTTACAGAATATCTACAGAATATTTACAGAATTTCTACAGAATATTTACAGAATATCTACAGAATATCTACAGAATATATAAAGAATATTTAAAGAATATTTACAGAAGTAAAATGCTAAATGCTTCATTAGCATTTTTCATCAAGTTTTCATTCTTCCAGTGGATTTTCTCCTGATCCGCTTGGTTTGGACCATGAATCCTCTCTGTTCTGGTCTGGACCAGTGTAAAACCATGAATCCTCTCTGCTCTGGTCTGGACCAGTGTAAAACCGTGAATACTCTCTGCTCTGGTCTGGACCAGTGTAAAACCATGAATCCTCTCTGTTCTGGACTGGACCAGTGTAAAACCATGAATCCTCTCTGCTCTGGTCTGGACCAGTGTAAAACCATGAATCCTCTCTGCTCTGGTCTGAAGCCATCGAGGAGGTTGGAGGAGTTCCTTTCGAAATACTGGAGCCAGTTCTGGAGCGATGCACTCCTGCACAACTGTATCGCATCGAACAGGCCAACCAGGTGAGACGCACAACTGAGACGCTGAGACACACAACTGAGACACAATCTCACACTCCAGTGGAGTGTCCTTAATGTGTTTAATATAAAAGTCCTTCATGTGGTATATATAATGTGTTATACAGTGCATCCGTTAAGTATTTACAGTGCTTCACTGTTTCCACATTTTGTTATGTTACAGCCTTATTCCAAAATGGATTCAATAAAAAAATGTCCTCACATTTCTACACACAACACTCCATAATGACCAAGAAAAAAGTGTTTTTGAGATTCTTGCAAAGGTATTAAAAATAAAAAAGGGAGAGTCACGTGGGGCAACCGAGAGTGATGGCCGCACACTAGATCGCTCCCCGACACCCATCCTAATATTATAACGTTTGGGGTCGTGCTCTTCTTGTGACGTGCAGGTCTTTATTACTTTTGCTGAGCGGAAGGCTTTATGCGAGTGGCAGTCACGGGAAATATGCCTAACACCAGTAAAGTAAACTTTTTCAAAGGGGCCACGGCCACGAGGCTAACTACAAAGAGGCTAGCTAGCGCTCCTCTGCCGCAGCCCGAGGATGATGCTAGCAGCGGAGTGTCGGGGGAAGAGGACCCGGAGATGAGCGAAACCATGTTTGACGAGCTGAGGAAAATGAATGCTACTCTACAAACCATGGCGGCGGATGTTATTACTATTAAGGAGACGACAAAAGAATTGAAGGAATCCGTAGAAAGCATCCAGGCCCGCATGGGTGAGGCAGAACAGCGCATATCGGACCTGGAGGATAGCCACGAGCAAGCTAGCTCCAAGCTGGAGAAGTGTGATGAGAGAGTTGATGTACTGTGGTCACGGGTGGAGGACTTGGAGAACAGGAGTCGGAGGAATAATGTTCGTATCGTTTCTCTTAAAGAGGGACTGGAAGAGCCGGGGAAAATGGCCAAATATGTGGAAAAGATCTTAGGGGACGCACTCGGGCTTACTGGCGGTGAATTTGAGATTGAACGCGCCCATCGCATCCCTATTCCTGTTCCAGACCCTTCCAAACCTCCGAGAGCGGTACTTGTTCGCTTCCTACGCTCGTCTGCAAGGGAGAAGGTACTACAGGTGGCCAGGGAGACGCGTGGTATCCACTGGGAGGGGTGCAAGCTTTCAATCTTCGAAGATTTCACGAGAGAGCTGGCGGAAAAGAGGAAAGCGTTCGTCCCGGTGAAGAAACATCTACGAGAGCTACAAGTGAAGCACCGACTAGTCTATCCTGCCACTTTATTGTTTACTTGGAATGGTCAGAAGAAAACCTTCACTGATGGGAGAGAGGCTGAAAGATTTTTGCAACATTCAACGGGAGCTGCACAGGACAGAAGAGCATGACTTTCTTTAAAATGTAAGGTAAACAAGAGATGGGTGGGGGTGAGCTGGAGATGGGTGTCGGTCGCAAAGGAGATTGTCTCACGGACCAAGTAATTAAGGGTTACCCGAACTATTAGTTTGGGTTGGGAATGTTGGGTAGGCAAGGGTGGGGGGTTAAGGGAGCTTTTCAGCGATGTTCTGCGCTGAAAAGGGAGGGGGTTTGTTTGTTATGTACATGTTCAAATTGTTTATTCAGACTGCAGTCATTAGAGTATGGGCCAAGGTATTACATGTGTTTTGATTTTGATTACGTGATTGCCGGTTCAAGTGTGTTTTATGTGGTCAGTATTTACCTAAATGTAATGTAATGTCGAGGTATATTAAAGTAACATCATGGAACATAAAAGGGTGTGGAGATCCAATCAAAAGGAGAAGGGTATTGTCCTATTTGAAGGCAAGAAACACGGATATACTTGCGAAAGTATTCAACATTTCGCCACATTTCAGGCTTCAAACATAAAGATATAAAAAAAAAAAATCAAGAATCAACAACAAGTGGGACACAATCGTGAAGTGGAACAAAATTTATTGGATAATTTAAACTTTTTTAACAAATAAAAAACTGAAAAGTGGGGCGTGCAATATTATTCGGCCCCTTGCGCTAATACTTTGTAGCGCCACCTTTTGCTGCAATTACAGCTGCAAGTCGCTTGGGGTATGTCTCTATCAGTTTTGCACATCGAGAGACTGGAATTCTTCCCATTGTTCCTTGCAAAACAGCTGGAGCTCAGTGAGGTTGGATGGAGAGCGTTTGTGAACAGCAGTCTTCAGCTCTTTCCACAGATTCTGGATTGGATTCAGGTCTGGACTTTGACTTGGCCATTCTAACACCTGGATACGTCTATTTGTGAACCATTCCATTGTAGATTTGGCTTTATGTTTTGGATCATTGTCCTGTTGGAAGATAAATCTCCGTCCCAGTCTCAGGTCTTTTGCAGACTCCAACAGGTTTTCGTCCAGAATGGTCCTGTATTTGGCTCCATCCATCTTCCCATCAATTTTAGCCATCTTCCCTGTCCCTGCTGAAGAAAAGCAGGCCCAAAGCATGATGCTGCCACCACCATGTTTGACAGTGGGGATGGTGTGTTCAGGGTGATGAGCTGTGTTGCTTTTACGCCAAACATATTGTTTTGCATTGTGGCCAAAAAGTTCGATTTTGGTTCCATCTGACCAGAGCACCTTCTTCCACATGTTTGATGTGTCTCCCAGGTGGCTTGTGGCAAACTTTAAAGTAGTACTAGAATTTAATATGCTGCTATCCAGAATATATAGCTACAATATGTGTTAATAATATTTCGGGTGTTCATTTTGACATGTTCAGATGGATTATGTTAAAAAAAACTGCTCTGAAGTGGCACCTTTTCACTTCCGCATAGAAACGCTAGGGAGAGCCAAAATGGCGGCGATGACGTAGGAGAAGGACCTCTCGCAGCAGCAGCAGTCTGGGCTGAATCTGTAGGAGGTTTCACTGTCATCTGAACAAGGTATAAACATATTTTCATCCGTTTTGTACATAATAGTGCACAACTCTTTTAACCTTTTAGCCTTATTTGCGAGATTCAAGCTAATTAGTAAGTAAGTAAGCTTTATTTATACAGCGCCTTTCACAGACCAAGGCCACAAAGCGCTTCACAGTTTAAACAGGTAAAAACAGACAAAATACGGAACTTCCGGTGGCGCCATGTTCTGAATAGAACGCAGGAGATTTCGGCTCCCATAAAATTCGCGACATTTGGCACATTCTCTTCAAAATAAATATCCCCTACTTTCTAAGTGAAGAGGAAAGATGACTTCAACGAGGAAGATTTCAAAACAGCAACTAACCAAGGAAAGGAGTGACGCGGAGCGCCCTGATCAAGATATCAGTGAAGCTAACATTAGCATCAGCACTTGCCCAACAGCTAAAGACTTGAACATGGCGGAGATTCTCCGCGAACTCAAAGATTTGCGACGAGAAAACCAAACCTCTTTTACTGAGACAAAGGCCTCACTGGACCGACTTGAGGGCTCAATGCAAGAGGTGAAAGCGAGGCTGACTACACTGGAGTCTCGGGCTGAGGAAGCTGAGTGCAGGATAAATGCTACGGAGGATGCTAGCCAACGCAGCGAGAGGGTGCTCCGCTACTTGCTGCGAAGAGAGGCCACGTTAACAAGTCACTGCGACGAGTTACAAAACCGCCTTCGCAGAAACAATATGCGTATCTACCAAGTTAAAGAAGAGAGTGAAAAGGAAGATATGATCGGTTTCGTGAAAGGGCTAATTCAAAATGTCCTGCATTTTCCTGAAGACGACGTTCAGATCGAAAGAGCTCATCGTGCTCTCGGGGCCAAGCTATCTGGTGCGGCTCCACCACGCTCCATAATTATCTGCTTCAGGGACTACGCGGTGAAAGAAGCTGTCCTACGGCAAGCCTGGGCTCTTAAACAAGTTATGTTTCAAGGTAAAACCATATATTTCGACCAAGACTACTAGGGCACGGCTCCGCGGCGTGATTAAGCAACTGAAGGAAAAAGGGGTGCGGGCAGATGTTGGCAAGCGGGACCGAAGACCTTCCCAACGCTTGTAGAGGCTTTACCTACACTTCAAGACCTGGGTGTCCTTGTACAGGTGAATGAAAGGGAGAAGATGGACAGGGAGTTGACCAAAGAACTGTGGAGCAGAAGTGAAAACAGGAAAAGAGGAGGTAATGGATCTCTCTCTGATAATGACTTGCACGATTATATCTGAAACTTCAACGTCATCCATCTCATATGAATGACTGATGTTTATCGTGTGTTCAAGGTATGTTCATCTCCGTTATCCGTAGGGGGAATAATTGTGTAATCAAAGCCATTGTCGCTGCTTGATAAGTGTTAACTAATTGTATTTTCACGGGAGCCAAATTTACCTTTTGTTTTTGACTATGAAACCCACGTTGTTAGGGTTTAGATCTCACCAGTGGATGCATCCATCTCCACTCTGGTTTATGATCACGTGTGCACTGTGTGCTTGCTTCCCAGAGCAGAAAAGAAGCCACACTGCTCTGCCTGGTGACCAACAGGGGCCTGCTAGGACTGGGTCACTTTTTGGATTTCACGTACTAACACGGAAATCCCTAAAGGGGTCCAAAATTGCTGGTCGGACAGATGGAAGTAACTATTGTTTAGTTTGTTTGTTAGGTTATTTCTTCGTTTTTATCTTTGTTCACTTGTTCATTTTCCTTGACAAGTTCATGTTCAGATACAGGTTGTTTACAACATTCAAAGTACAAGTACTGTCATTTATGTACAGACATCTTAAATATCTGAAGAGAAGGTACCTACAGATATTTGATAATCATGGCAGAAATCAATATAATTAGTTACAATGTTAAAGGGTTGGGACACCCCATAAAAAGAAGAAAGATATTGAGTCAATTGAAGTCATATAAATGCTCAGTAGCATTATTACAAGAGACTCATCTCAGTGAATTGGAGCACAAAAAATTAAAGAGAGAATGGATAGACCAAGTGTTTTTTGCAAATAGTCCAAGAAGTAGGAAGAGAGGTGTGGCAATTTTATTTCATCAAAACACTATTTTTGATGTACAGAAAGAAGTGAAAGATCCTCAAGGCAGATACATAGGGGTAGTTG